TCAGAAAATTTGTCCCTTAGTAATTAGTTCACTGGTACTGCCATGGCTTCCCCAGAGACGGTCTTGTTTTATCACGTTTTTTTTTGTATTTATATGTCCTTCTAAAGGTGCCTCATGATATGGTCTTGAAGATCAATACAACTTTTACTGTTGTCTCCATGTCTGAGTTACAGGAAACCAATAAATCAAACCAATCCTTCACTGCCCCAGATGGAGGATTTAAATTAGATGTGGTCCTGGGCCCATAAATCATCTCCTCCCCCTCTGCCTCCCAGGGACAGGATCGAGATGAGGGAGAAGCATTCTCTGGGCCCCTTGCCCACATAGGAAGATACAGATGATCCCACTTAGCCCTGTCTTCCTGTCCCCTGTCTTGGCTGCCCCACCTCCTAGAGTCCAAATTCCCCGTACACTCATTTATGTAGCAGAGGGAGCCCCCAAAGCCTGATGGAGCAAAAGCCTCTGCTGTCAAGTCCTGTTTTAAATATCCTGGGGGAAGCAGAGGGCTGCCTGCCTAGAAAGATCCTCCCGGTGGGTGAGAATTTTGAGGTTCCACTTGCCCTCCTATCTGGGGACTCTGGGCATTATCTTTGATTCTTAGGTCAGTATTTCCTGGAGAACAATTTTTAAAAGGCAAATAGGACATTTTCCTTTGAATACTGGACAAATCCCCTTAGTTTTTGCCATTTATTTATCTATTTCTAGAAATGCCTTCTCTGGGCTCTCTCTAGATCTCTACTTGATTCCTCAGCCCATTAAGCCAGACTTCTTCAATCTTGGCTGGGCACTGGAATACTGGGGGCTTCAGAAAATACTCCTGTGAGGTCGCACCCCAGGGCTTCGGACTGAAGTGGTGGTGGTGGGGGGAACTTGAGCATTTGGGGTTTTGAGCTGACTTTTCCTCGCTTTGGTGATAGGACATGATGCAGCAGCAACTAGGGGACTGGCCCAGGTAGAGGGCTGGCTTATGTCTGAGTGGCATGTGGCTATGGACAAAGCACACAGGAGTACCATCCCAATTGCCATCAGCCTTTTACTGAGGTATGGTGGCATAAGTGGCCAGTATCACACACCCAAGGACATCTCTGAATGCTTATCTTTGGCCACGTCACCAAAGAAGCACACCACACCCTGAATCCTGGGAGAAAAAAAAACAAGCATGTATTTGCAAAATGTTCCAGGGCAGAAGCCCATACTCAAGCTTATTTTCCTTTTCAGATTCCAAGGGTGAAGCAGACCACTGGGCTTTTTTCCCACCCAGGAGGAGGGCAGGGTGGCCAGGATGGGCCTGTGAACAGGTGTCTCACTGGTGAACTTCTCTTTGATTTTGAAGACCTAAGCTTCAGCCACAACTCAGACTCCCTTGCTGCTAAGAGTAGTCAGATATCACAGTTCTCTACAGTGATATCAAACCGGAGGGTTTGGGTAGGGCCTCCCGAGGAAGAGGATAGGGCTAGGCAGGGCCATCCTTTTGTTTACTTTTTTGGTTTTCCTTTAAGTGTTTCCTTTTGGGGAGATGAGTGTGTTGTGGCCACCAGGAGCAGATTAGATGGACATCCGGAAGGAAACCTCATTGCTGAGGACACTGTATCTGCTGTCTAAGGCTCTCTACCTCCATTATTTTTTTTT